GGGTAGCACCTTGCACGGCTGCAGGACCGGGGGCACCTGTTCTCCAAGTCTGTTGTGTTTTTGTCAATATCTCTTGAAGTTCGGTTGTTCTGAACTGTAATTTCCCTTCATGGGATCAATAAAATATCATTCATTCATTCATTCATTCATTCATTCATTCATTCATTCATTCATTCATTCATTCAAATCACCTTAATTCAAATTATGCTCACCTGTTTAATGCTGTGTCCTATATCAACCCTTTTAAACTCACTAGGAATACAGTGCAGTGATACAGACCCCCAAATGCCAAAGACAGTTTTTAAGAACAACTACTGTAAATGGTCTTATGAAATAATGTAATGTCAAAGAAACAATCCTTATGGGGGATTTTAATCTTAACTGGGAGGATAAGTTGAGGAGGAAAAAGTTAAAAGCCATTATAGACAAATACCATCTGGAACAAGTGATAAAAGGTGCAACTAGAATTACAAAAAGTACAAGTACACAATTAGATCACGTATTCACCAATAAACCTCCAAGTGTAATAAAAACTTTTATCTGATGACTGGACTTTCTGATCATAACCTAGCATTGCTGGTGTAGGGGTTTTGGGTATATTCTAAAATGGATAATTTGTGAATTATTTAAATACGCAAATTATCTTACCTCGAGGCACCACGCTCTTAATTTGATCAAAAACTAACCCAAGAAAGAGACGAAAACCTGTAACTTTATTGTAATCAGTCTCACAATAAATGTACCCAAAATAGTTTGATGAGTTCTTGTCCTTAACAGAACCAATAATACTTTATCAAGACACAAAAGTGAGATTAGCTTATGTTGGCACGTTCTCCACGGGCCATTTATTTACAGATTAAATGTATTTACAACTACGGTGAGTAAGAAGTGATGACATGTTGAACCAGGTAAAACTGACAGAGTTTGCAATCACAAGTGAATAAACAAAAAAACAAACAAACAAACAAACAAACAAACAAACTAACAAATAAATAAAATAAACCCTGAGAGGTGAGTTTGAGGTTTGGAGTGAGGTGAGTTTTGCTTTTAGCTGAGGATTTAACTAAGGGGGTCCTAGTTAAATTAGGGAGAAAAATCATTTAGTTTACCAAATCTCATACAAAGATAAGAATCAAATTACGTTTGAGCACCTGTTTGTCACCTGGACAAATGTTCACTTTTACCCTTTTGTTCCGCCGTGTGGGTACCAGGAGGGGAAGTCAGCGATTCAAGGTCATCTCTTGGGTCGTTTCCCAGGTAGGCTCTTCATGCAAGCTGGATGTCAGGCGGTTTGCCTGTAAAACTCGACTGGTCCCGTGGTCAGAAAAGGGGGTCACTCCCTGGTGACAACGTGGTCCGTTCTTCTTTAGGCGGCTGCAAGACTTCTTAATTTGACTTCAACTTTGTAGAGAAAACAAACTAAAAACGACGCATGAATTACAATTAGCTTATTTAACTTCTATAAAATCAAACTCAGGTTTTGAGTCGATATTAAACGTTGGCTGTTCGTTCAACCCAGTGGGAGATGCAGAAGGGCCACCATCCTGCCCAGCCCATGGGGAGGGGCTGGCAGGCTGGGCCTCTGCTGAGCTTCTGGAAAGCTGTTTCTGGCTTCTGATMTTGAAAAACTCTCTTTCTCTGTCTTTGTCTTTCTTTGTCTTCTTTTTCTTCTTAGAGATTGGGAGTGCGCTAAGCTTTTTTAAAACATCTGTTATGGGCGGAGTCAAGGTTTTAGTTGGCCAATAAAAATGTTACACCTTATACGGGAAAAGTTTTTAACAAAGCAAATATGTTTTGGAGGGAAAACTTTTCTTCAGGACAAAGAAAAAGGGAGTGTTTTAGTTTAATTGTCTTGCATCTAATTAAAAGGGAGAGACATCTGCTTGCCTCAGTAAAATAAGAGTGTCACACTTAATTATCAAAATTCAAGTCCTAAATTTCTAAGGATTAAATCATGGAATAAAACACACACTTCTTCAGGAAAACATTTCATCAAAACAATCAGCACCACACAGCTATTGAACAGTTAACTAAGCAAAACTTAGTAGGTCTTTTATGGTCTTTTTAGTTCTTTTCTGTAAGAAAAACGGATTAGATGACATTCTTTGCAATAAGACAGAAAACATTAGATACACAGATTCCTTTATCTTTTCTCCTTTTTTCACATTTAGTGAAGAATGTAGGTCCTTTTTTCTCAGTCACTGAAGAGTCTGGTTAAAGGCARTTATGATCCCTTTGAAGAGGAGCAAACAGACAGTCCTATGCTTATGGGGGATGGAAGCAACAGAACTTGTGGGGGTTCGGAACAGGAATGTGGCAATTCTTATCTATTAACAGTAAGGRGTCAGGACGTCTGGTGGGGTTTGTATGAGAGATGTTAATTAGAGCCACAAAGGAAGTTCCATGCAAAAGTCTTTAGAAATAGTCTGAAGTCAAAGTGGGGTTTTTCTTCCTTCCTGAGCCGTTGTCATAGGAACAAGTGAAATCTAATCAGAAATAATTATTTATATGCAGGAAAATGCTACACTGGCAAGAAAACTACCTAAAAAACAATTTCAAAATAGGACACAAACATTGTGTCATTCAAAAAAGTTCTGCATACCAAAAAGCAGAGTTGTAAAGTAACTAAGTACAAATACTTTGTTACTGTACTTAAGTAGAAATTGTGGGTATCTGTACTTTACTTGAGCACTTATTTTTCAGCGTACTTTTTGCTTTTACTCATTACATTTTTACACAATTATCTGTCCTTTCTACTCAGTACATTTTTTAAAAGGTAAGAAGTAGAAAGTCGTTACTCCTATTTTATTCAGAGTTGTTATTACTAAAAATTGTTTCTCTTGGATAAAGTGAATTTAATTGTGGTTGGATAAGAAGTATAAATACTGTATATACCATTCTGACACCATATTAGCTTGTACACAACCCATCACAGCTGCACGCTGTTAGAAAATATATTTTTGGTCACCTCCCAATAAATGTCATTTTGGAAAAGCTAACTGCTCACTTTTACTCAGTAGTTTTACTTTTAATACTTAAGTAGATTTTGTGTCAGAAATTTACTTTTGATACGTAAGCACAAAAAATATCAGATACTTTGACTTTTACTCAATATTTTTAGAGAAGACTTTAACTTTTACCAAAGTATTTTTATGATAAGATACTTGTACTTTTACTCAAGTAATATTTTTAGAGAAGACTTTAACTTTTACCAAAGTATTTTTATGATAAGATACTTGTACTTTTACTCAAGTTTCACTTTGAGGTACTTTATACAACACTGCCAAAAAGCAAAAAGGACACGTTAAATAATGAAATAGATTGGGATGATGTGTTGTCGTCTGAAAATCTGGAACATAGTTGTCAGTTATTTACAAATAAGGTTAATGCTGTTAGAGAGAAGTTCAGTGTAAGTTTTCAGATAAAGAATAAACACAAATCCAACCCTTTCCCTGGTTCAATGATCAGCTATGGCAACTAATGAAAAGCAGAGACTCTGCATTAAAGAAGGCCATAAAAACCAAAAGAGCCACAGATGTTTTGATCTATAAAAGTCTAAGAAATAAAGTGATTAAAGAATTGAGGATAGCAAAATCACAATTTTATCTCCGATTAATAAATCAGGCTAAAGGTAATAGTAAAGAAATTTGGAAAAGTATTAATACCTTGACAGGAAGAATGAAAAACCCTACAACAGACATCATGCTTAGTGTCGATGGAAGGACAGTAGATGATAAGGGCATCATTGCTTCTACTTTTAATTCTTTTTTTATTCAGTCTGTTCAGGAGTTGGGACAGGGTTTTAAAGGTAAGGATCAGGAACAATTGATAACTACAAAAGAGGGTTTTAATTTGAATACAGGTACTGAATAGGAAGTCGAGAAAATAATTCAGTCTCTAAGAAATTCAAAAAGTAGAGATGTTTTTCATCTGGACACAGTTTTTGTCAAACAGCATATAGATAACAACCCTCCCAATTACACACCTAGTGAATCTTTCCCTCACACACAGTTTCTTTTCAAATGACTGGAAACAAGAGGTTGTTATTCCCATTTTTAAATCTGGAAATAGTCATGGTGTTAGCAACTATAGACCAGTGAGTATATTGCCAGTCATATCAAAAGTAGCAGAAAAAGTGGTCATAAAACAACTAACAACCCAGCTAAATGGCAGCAACCCAGGTTTAAGCCCTGTACTGTTTGGCTTCGGGAAGCATTACTCAACAGAAACAGCCATCATACACCTTACAGAGCAGATATGACTACAACTTGATAAAGGTGGAGTTGTTGGTGCTGTTTTTTTAGACATGCATAAAGCTTTTGATACAGTTAATCACAATGTTCTTCTCTCCAAATTATCAAACTTTAATTTCTAATCTAAAACCCTTTCTTGGTTGGCGTCATACTGTATCTATGCAACAGAATGCAATGTGTTACAATCAAAAATGTACATTCCAGTTTCCTAAAATGCACAATGGGTGTACCACAAGGATCTGTGCTTGGACCCCTGCTTTTTAGTCTTTACATCAATGACCTTCCAAAGTTTTGTCATGACATAGAAGTCCAGTTATATGCGGACAACACTGCTTTGTACACGAATGCTAAAACGATTCAATTTGCGGCTGACAAATTAACCAAAGCTTTGGAGGGAGTGGTTGACTCAATCCTGTCTGACTTTAAATGTAAACAAAACAAAAAGTATGTTTTTCTCTAAGACTAAATTGGACACCTCAAATTTAAACATTTACATCAAGGGTAAACAAATTGATACTGTGATTGAGTTTAAGTATCTTGGATTTTGGATTCAAACCTCAACTACAAGAAA